CGTCACGTCTCCCGCTAGCTCTCTCCTAGCTTCCCGCGTCCCTCTCGCCAGGAACCTCGCTCTTCCAGCCCCAACCAACCAGACAACACTCTCCCACCCAAACCCACAGCTACAGGTCACAAGAACCGTCCATCAAAACAGTGGCACGTTCACTGACACTCTGTAAAATGTAAACAAACTCTAAACAACAAACATCAACATTATAACCAGTCCGTTACAGTACGTTTATAAGATAGCTAGCTAGCTACATTTTCTCTTACTCCTATTAGCTATAGCCAATATTTTCAAAAAGATTTACTCATAGGCTACTGTTACAGACTATTACATCTCGTAATCATCTGTTACATTGTCATCCTCACTGACTAGCAGAGGCACTTTATTTTGTATTCTACATATCAATATGAAAGTTTTCCTTTGATGGGTTTGAATTAGCCCTTTGGTTAATTCATGCCGAAATAGAATACGCTGTTTCTTAACACAACAACGCTTTCATTTTAGCAGAGTGTCAGATTGAACATACAAACACACCCATAAATACCTGTCAGTTACATTTAAAGATTCTAAATATTCCTAGTTTAGTCCTGTTACGACGTATGTGAATGACAGCTTCTGACACGAAGTAAACATTGACCCAAGCTTTCACCAAGCAACCCAAACGGAGCGTTTCAGACAATGCTGTATAGATACTATGAGAAAAATGTATACTTTACTGCTTGTAACAACCGTAAATACAAGTATGAATCTGAAAATTAGCATGATTTCACTCCTATGCAAGATTCTGAATAAACGACGTTCAATCGTATATATCATCAATCATATACTGTGGTATTCCTACTTTTACTGAAGTAAAAGAGCTGCGTATTTCTTCCAAAAGTGGACTTTTACTTGTAACAGAGTAAAAATACTACTTTTACATAAATAAAACACGAGTAGCATAATTTTCCATCTCTGGATGATTTGTAGGCAAACATCGCTCACAGAACTTTATTTTCAATCCTGATCTCCGAAAACACCAAATGTGTTTGGCTACAATTTGGGTAAATGTTTACAGAATACAAAAGGCATCTGCAACCTTTCCACCTGATTGAAAAATGCAGCCATTAATCACACGGAGCCATCATGTGGCTTCGATGAAGATCTGGAAGAAGCCGACATGTCAGCCTGCATAGAATATGATGAGTTTATGAACTGTAAAGCTAGAGTCATCTGTAAATGATCAAGTAAACATTCACCATTTCCTCTCGTGAACAAGAGGAAAGCCTCTCCTGCTTTTAATCATAGATGTTGTGCAGATGCACAACAGTGAGCGGAAGGGAGTGTATGCGAGTTGCAGATATTGACTGTGACAGTATTCATGTTGATTCTCAAAGGATCACAACATACGAACATTAAATTGGATGTGAAATCCCATGCAAACACTTAAAGTGACCAACAAGGTTAGTGGCTGCATGCAGAGCAGCTCGAGGCGGACTGTTACTGCAATCAGCTTTTAGCTCTGGGACTGGAGCTCTGATTCATGTTTAGTCAGCATGACTCAATTCTTGTGTCATTAACTTAACAGTCGGAGCTGTTGGAGATGATTTAATAATGACTGTAGGTTTGTCTGGAACAGTACGAGTATTGTGTCAGTGATGCACTCTGTAGTAGAGAGGCTGCATCATGTTCCATTTTCACAACCATTCAACAAAGGAGTTGGAAGAAAATCAATGCATCTTAAGTGGTAGAATTTTCATTTAAAATAGTATGTAAGTACATTTGATTAACTTACAGTAAGTACTATGCTGGGTTTGTGTTTTTGTCATGTTTTAAACCTTTTATAGTATTTTTTTTAATTGTAAGTTGTCTTTGGGTGTTGTGAAAGACGCCTCCAAATAATGTAATCTATTATTTATGGCCCACAGATAAGAGTATTGCAATATTTATATTTTTGGCAAAATCACAAACTGTGGCAAAGAACTTCATTAAAGTTATTCTGAATTGCATGCACACAAAAACTTGAACTATGCACACAATTCAGAAAACTTGAAGGTCATTCATCAACAAGGAGACTCTAGACAGCCAACTCCATTGTTTTCACTCAAAAGGAATTAATAAATAAACCTGGACTAAATCTTAAGGAGAGCTACTTGAATATGATTTCAAAGTCTATTTTTAGTTTAAGTAAGAAGTTTAATTGTCTGCTTTGTTTAACTTCTACTCCTTCAGAGGCAAATACGTTACATTTAATTGATAACTTAAGTTACTTTGAAGATTCAGATAATAAAACAAAATGTACCACAAGATAAATGATGTTGTACTGTTATAGTTGAAGTTAAAACATTTACAAGCTACCAAGCGGCATAGTAATTACTTAAAATGGTGTATATGTTTACCTATGTGTCTATGTTTATGTTTATGTTTTGTAAAAGGTAAATTGATAAAGCATTAATGCACCATTATAATCCTTAGTTTCATCACCAATTTTCACCAATCTGGATAATGAGTGTTGTTTGGAGAGGGTACTTTAAGTATATTAGGATGGCAATACTTTGGTATTTTCTAAAGAGTATTTGACTGTAGTATTACTTAATGGACCTAGACAATCTGTATATTTTTTCCACCATTTGTTTCTAGTTTCTTACAGATAAAATAAATGATGAATGTTTAAATATCACAGTGCTGTAGATTTAACTCCAGCATAAAATGTGCTCCACTTCCACCAGCTGTGAAATTCAAATTATACTTACATGTGTGAAAGCATTAGTCACTTTCAATAATATATAATACGGTATAAGGTGAGAGATCACAAAAATGTGAAAATCTCAAAGGAAATGTTTGCGAGTGCGCAAAATGAATAAGAAGAAGCAACTAAAAAATACAAAAAGAGTCATAAATATAACTTATATAATGTATTTGAAAATATGTTTAAATATAAACATAATAAACATACAAGTAATATCGCTCATGTATGGCCTGGGTTCATTCCACCCTGTAAGTAATAATGTAAATAATTTAGCTTCTAATACTTTTTTAGTGCAACATGCAATAGAGTATTTTTGACAGGACGATATTGCTATCTTCACTTAAAGGATAGGAATTCTCCCACTACCACATCCTGTTCTGCTGTCAAACATTGTTCAAATGCACAGTACTTTATTTTCAATTCCATTCTGAAAAAACATTCAATCTAATGTGTATAAAATGACGCACGACATTTCCATTTGACTGAATGGTGCAGCCATAAATGAAAAAAGGGCATTGGCCATTATTTCTTCAAGGGAAATCTGAGAGAAGCTAATACAGCATATAAACGATCTGACTGTGTTATACAAGGAGTGTAATAACAGTAAAGTTAAAGGGCCATCTGTATGTGAGGAGCTTTAATAATGAAAGGCCGTGCTGAGGATGTGGAGGTCTCAGCAGGGAGCTGTCACACTATCTGACTCACAACGGTGCGTTTAAATGCATGAGAGCTCAGCTCATAACATGGTTACTGAAGTAACCTCCCCACATGTAAACAATACAACTCTGTTAGAAATAACTCAGTTAAGCTTGTGCTTTTCCAGTGTGGGTGAGTCTGGCTTTGAAGGATATTAAAGGGCTTACTGATGCACGAAAACATATTACCTTCGCACACTAACAAGCCACATTTCTGGGCTGTGATGTGGTGGGCAGGCACAACCGATAGACATTCTCTTTAATTAGTTTTAGCGAGAAATCAGTTGTGGAGGAAGTATTCAGACCTCTTACCTAAGTACGACAAATATTTATACCACATTTGGCTACAAGTGAAAATCTTGCATTAAAAAGGTTGCTGGAGTATTTCAGTGTAATTTGAAAAATAAACAAAGTGGTTAAAGTAGAAAAAGTTCCCTGTGACTGTTATACAATTGTATACGATTAGATTATACTAACTCATGCCTTAATATCAGGATGATATTGTTTTATTAGTTCACGTATTATAATATATCTATTTGATAATTTATAAGGATTTTCATTATCGATTAATCTGCTGATTATTTTCTACATTAAATGTTTTCATTTTTGTAAGAAATAGTGAAAAAGGATACACAGCAAGTTTGTTTTAATCCAAACCTCAAAGTAAAGGTTATTCAATTATTTCAAAGGAAAAACAGTAGAGTTTGAAAAACGACTGAAGCCTTCAAAATAGTAATGAATTAGTGTTTGGCTAATCCACTACTAGTTTCAGCTCTATTTATACATTTTGTATATGCATTTTGAGCAAAACTCTTAACTCTTAAACTGTCAGAAAATGTACTGGTATAGAAAAAAAAGGAAATATGTAATAAAATAACAAGTGCTCTAAATGTGTATCAAAGTGGGCAGTATACTTAGTGAACACTCATCTGGTGACAAAAGAAAACTGATGTTGACAGCTCATTCCGAATAACAAGGTAATACCCCCCACCCCCCATCCTGGGCTCATAGGCACATCAATCACTACAAACTCCTGATGTACAAATATAAATAAAATACATTTTAAATTCTTTACATGGCAAAGAATAACAATGAAATGTATTCAATAGTATGCACAAAAGAAAAGAGGCTGCATTCCTACATGAATAAATGATCATGCTGATGAGATCCCTCGTTATATATTCTCCCTTTTATGTTATGGAGAGAAGTGAACAGGCAGGAGACATGGACAAGCATAGGCGAGCATTATAGGCGAGGCAGGTAACATGGACATGGAAAGACGACGAACTGAGGTTACCTACTGTAACCCCAGTTTCTATGAGTAAATGGCACAGCCCTCTAAGGCTATCGCTATTGGGTAATCCCCCTGCGCCCCCGCGCAGCACTGAAACACTTGTAGTCCACGCCCATCCGCAAGGTGGGCCCCACCCTCGGGCCTCCTTCCGGTATAAATAGGAAGGAGGCCCGGCAATCTGCTCCCTCTTTTTTTCAGCAAACCAGCACAGTTACTGAAGCACAGCAATTGAGAATCATCATGAGCAACAACTGCGTCCGTGATTGTCCCTCATGTGGCTCTGGGACAGGAAGCGGACAGCGGACACTCTTGCTGCTGTGGCCGAGGAGGACGATTGGCCCGTCCAGGCTTACGAGCGGACGGGGCCTCGTGTCCCTGGGGCAGAGTGCCGGGCAGGAGTCCGAAGCAACTCCTGCCCCGCCTCCCTCCACGGTTCACCGTTCGGTTCTCCCCTCCCTCCTCTCCCCCGGACGGGGGAGAAAGAGTCGGAGCAGGGTGCCAGCTTGGCGGCCGAACATGCTTTCCCCCTCTCCGTCACCACAGCGCGGCGGCGTCTGTTACGGAGACGGCCAGAAAAGTGCTACTGGACGCTCCAATCAGCCCGGACGGGCTGTTCGGATCCCAGTTCCACGCCATGGTGGAGTCCATGAAGATGGCCGCGGAACAGGTGGACGGCATTCGCCAACATGTACAGCTGGCTCCAGTCGGCTGAGCTGCCACAGCGGCACCAACGCCCGCAGCAGCCGCGGAGTCCACGCCGGTCACAGGAGGCCGCAAGCGGAGAGACGCCCACAGCAACCGCCCCGGCGGCCGCAGGGGCTCCGTCCCACGTCTTCGCTCCCCCGCCACCCCAGAGACAGGGTCTCCCGGCGGCGAGTCAAAGGGGAGTGAGGCTCCCCCGCTCCTGGTCTGCTCCGCGAGAGCCTCCGAGGAAGCGGAGCCGGTAAGTAAGCCGGCTGCCACTAATCTGTTGATTAAGTAGACAGCAGGGCTCCCTGCAGAAGCCTGCTGGTTTTAACCTATCGGTTAATAAACCTGCAGAGCTCGCGGCATTCCCCTGTCCGAGATACGCCTCCTACACACGGTCATAATAACCCATGAGCGCCGGTATAACGCCTCATGTGGACAGCACTGCACACACCTCCACTCAGCCGGAGTGAAACGCAGCGTGTGGAGGTTTCCTCGCAGCCCTTTCGCCTCACGGGCAGCGGCGGCGAGGGCAATGGCGTGGCTCATCGCCATGACGACCATTACAGCACATCACAGAGAAGCCAGAACGGGGGAATGAACAGTATTCCAAGCTGAGTGCCCCCAGCGGAAGTGCCCGCAGCGCCACGGCGCCAGGGCTCGCTGCAGAAGCCTGCTGGTTTTAACCTATCGGTTAATTAACTGCAGAGCTCGCTAATTAAGCCGGCTGCCACTAATCTGTTGATTACCTGCAGAGCTCGCGCCATTCCTCTGTCCGAGATACGCCTCCTACACACGGTCATAATAAACGCAT